TGCAGCTGCTCAGTGGAAAGCAGCACCCCCCTCACCCACAGCATCTTATCTGTAATAAAAGGGGGGGGAAAAGAAACAAAAAAAAATAATAACCCCTCTGGGAATTTAAAACCCTGACACTCTCTCTAAAAGCACTTTTAAGTCTATTTGAGAGCAAAGTGACTCTGCATGTCTCATCCAGCACTACATGCCCCAGCATCCTGGCTCTTGTAAAGCAGCTGCCTCAGGTGAAGTCTCAGAAACAGGTTAATAGAGAACTTTGTTACCTGCTCCCCTTCCTGCTTCTGTGGAACTTTCTGGGGCTGGAGTATCAGAACAGGGCAGTTTGCTTGGGGAGGCCAGGTGAGATGCAGCACAAGGAGCTACATACATCAGGAGAACAAAAATCACTTCCAATTCTTACAAATAAACCACTTTTTAATAAGCTTCTCTATGAGTCAGCTTGCAAACACGACCTGATAAAACACAAGAGCAACTTCTTTCTACTCGTCTCTTCCGTCTCCCTGCCCCTCTCCCCGCCCTGTCAAAGGGAGAGATGGAACTAAATTCACACCCACATGTAAAACTGAACTGGAATATTTCCTCACAGACAACGAAACAGCCTCATCCACAGCCTTTTTTTCTATTTGTATTGAGCAATTTTACACAGAAAGGGACAGTGAGTCTAGTAAGCAGAACTGGAAACTGAAGGGCTGGAACACACAAAGATCTCATTCCTACAGACCTGCATTACATTTACAGAATCACAGACGGGTTTGGTTTGGAAGGGATCTTTAAAGGTCATCCAGTCCAACCCCCCTGCAGTGAGCAGGGACACCTTCAGCTAGATCAGGTTGCTCAGAGTCCCATCCAACCTGACCTGGAGCATTCCCAGGGATGGGGCATTCCCCTCCCCAGCTTTCCTGGAGCCCCTTCAGGCACTGGAAGCTGCTCTACGGTCTCCCTGGAGCCTTCTCTTCTCCAGGCTGAACACCCCAACTCTCCCAGCTTGTCTCCAGAGCAGAGCTGCTCCTGCCCTGGATCATCTTTTAGGCCCCTCTCTGGACACCTCTGTGGAGATCAAAGGGGATGAGTACCCACCAGAAACCTCCCATACAAAGGCAGCCAGATATCACCTCACATCTCTGTGTTACTTTCAGAATGCTCTGAAAAAAAACCAAGTCTTAAATATATTTTTTAATTCAGATGTCACTGCTCTGTGTGCCAAATTAAGAAAAACATGCAAGTATTGTGAGCCCTTACAATCCAGGCCAAAATGCAGTCATCACTAGGTCTGAGTGAAAAGAAAACAATACAGGAAAAAATCCTACAGACAAATGCACTATTGTCTGATCTGTAACTTTTACATGTTTTCTGAACATCTTGGAGCTGAGCACTGGTACAGACACTGCCCAGGTCCTGCCCCAAGCTCTGTGCTGGGGGTAGCTCCATGTCTGCAGCTCAAGCCTCCAGGATCCATCTACTGCAGGAGAAACATCAGGCTCAGTGCTAAGTACAGTGAGGTGAGGAGATTATTCTTCTTCTCCTTCTAAAGCAGCCATCTCCTCACCAGGGAACACAAAGGCTGCAGCTGCTCAGTGGAAAGCAGCACCCCCCTCACCCACAGCATCTTATCTGTAATAAAAGGGGGGGGAAAAGAAACAAAAAAAAATAATAACCCCTCTGGGAATTTAAAACCCTGACACTCTCTCTAAAAGCACTTTTAAGTCTATTTGAGAGCAAAGTGACTCTGCATGTCTCATCCAGCACTACATGCCCCAGCATCCTGGCTCTTGTAAAGCAGCTGCCTCAGGTGAAGTCTCAGAAACAGGTTAATAGAGAACTTTGTTACCTGCTCCCCTTCCTGCTTCTGTGGAACTTTCTGGGGCTGGAGTATCAGAACAGGGCAGTTTGCTTGGGGAGGCCAGGTGAGATGCAGCACAAGGAGCTACATACATCAGGAGAACAAAAATCACTTCCAATTCTTACAAATAAACCACTTTTTAATAAGCTTCTCTATGAGTCAGCTTGCAAACACGACCTGATAAAACACAAGAGCAACTTCTTTCTACTCGTCTCTTCCGTCTCCCTGCCCCTCTCCCCGCCCTGTCAAAGGGAGAGATGGAACTAAATTCACACCCACATGTAAAACTGAACTGGAATATTTCCTCACAGACAACGAAACAGCCTCATCCACAGCCTTTTTTTCTATTTGTATTGAGCAATTTTACACAGAAAGGGACAGTGAGTCTAGTAAGCAGAACTGGAAACTGAAGGGCTGGAACACACAAAGATCTCATTCCTACAGACCTGCATTACATTTACAGAATCACAGACGGGTTTGGTTTGGAAGGGACCTTTAAAGGTCATCCAGTCCAATCCCCCTGCAGTGAGCAGGGACACCTTCAGCTAGATCAGGTTGCTCAGAGTCCCATCCAACCTGACCTGGAGCATTCCCAGGGATGGGGCATTCACCACCTCTCTGAGCAACCTGGGCCAGTGTCTCACCATCCTCGTGGTGAAAAATGTCTTCCTTCTTTCTAGCCTGGACCTCCCTCTTTCAGTTTAAAACCATCACCCCTTGTCCTGTCACTACAGACCCTGCTAAAAAGTCGGTCCCATTTTTTTAAAGGCTCCCTTTGATACTGGAAGGCCACAGTAAGTTCTCCCTGGAGCCCTCTCTTCTCCAGGATGAACACCCCAGAGCAGAGCTGCTCTAGCCCTGGGATCATCATTGTGGCCTCCTCTGGACTTGCTCCAACAGCTCCATGTCTCTCCTGTGCTCAGGACCCCAGAGCTGGACGCAGCCCTGCAGGGGGGTCTCACAAAGCAGAGGCACAGAACCTCTCTCCCTGGCCCTGCTGGTGACAGCCCAGGACATGGTTGGCTTAGAGGGCTGCAAGTTCACACTGTCAGCTCATGTCCAGCTTTTCACCCACCAACATCCCCAAGTCCTTGCCCTCAGGGCTGCTCTCAATCCCTCCATCCCCCAGCCTGTGTTGATACCAGGGGTTGCCTTGACCCAGATGCAGGACCTTGCATCTGGCCTTGTTGAACCTCATGAGGTTCACACAGGCCCACTTCTTCAGTTTATCCAGGTCCCTCTGGATGACATCCTGTCCCTCCAGTGTGTCACCCACACCACACAGCCTGTTGGCATCTGCTAATGTTCTGAGCATGCACTCAACCCCCCTGCCTACATCCCTGATGAAGATACTAAACAGTAGTGGTATCATCCTCCTCGCCAAAGGGAAAAATCTGCTCAAGCAACCTTCAAGAGAGAAATCTCTGACTTCAGGGAGCTTTTCCAGTCCACATATCCCAGCTCCACAGGTTGTCACCAATCCCTGAGTCAGGAACAGGGCTCAGAGAAACTATTTCATGCCATCTTTCAAGTCTGCTGCAATGGTTTCATGTTCATACAACACTCAAAAGATGTAAATTCTTTGCCAACACTAAACACTGTTATTAACAGAACTCAGGGACATTAATTAATGTCCCTATGATGATCACAGCTGTGTAGAGAAGGTCAGCAAAGAACAACGCATACAGCACAGCGACCATGCAAACCATTGTCTTCTACACCCATGGTATGCTTGGGAATAGGAGGATCCAATTCTAACCTCACCACAAGAATGGAGACTAAGCAGTTCCCATTTTAGGACCCTTCTTTTCCCAGGAACACAACTGGACAATAAGCTGAAGTGGTTGGAAATTGAGCACCACGTGAAGCCTCGAGATTGCTCCTGCACAGGGAAGGTTCCTAGCTTTCTTTTGATAAACAGCATTTGTTATTAGTCAAAATCAGTCAAGACATACAAGACATACAAGTCTCTTCCCACCCTCATTCTACATTTTTACCTCCACAGACTCTCAACACTTATCTCAAGCTCAACCAAGAGCTAAATGAACTGGCTTTATATCCCTGAGCCAAGCAAGGCAAGGGATCAAAGCCAGTCTCCTCCCAGAGCAACGTGACCTCCCACAGACATCTCAGACTCCATCTCTGGTCTGCTCAGACCAGAGGTCCACACACAACTGGTGGCAGCAGCAGCACTCACGTGCTCCCAGTTAATATGCAAGCACCATGGCCACACCTGACAAAGCATTCAATATTCTCCCTGTTCTGAGCTTTACTTTCTGACTAGAGCAGCTTGACAAAACATGGTGTTGGACAGAAGATAAAGCAATGCTATACTCACACGTGTCTGAATTTAGTCCAAAATGTTGCTTCTAGCCAAGACTGGGTATTTGATGAGGCCAGTTCAGTATTTTTCTAATGCTCTGTTATGGAGCAGAGAACAAAAACGTACCAAATCCCTGCAGAGCTACAAGAAGTGACTAGTCAAGGAATAATTAAGTCATGGAAAGAAAGGAGGGAGGGAAAAGATAAAGGGCACTGGGGTTTTTTCCTAATCCCAATGACATGTTTAGTAAGCCCTCAGATTTGTGTTCATGCAGCTCAGAGACAACCAGGAAAGACTTTGTCAAATGAACATGTGTGCTGCATCCTGCCAAGGAAAAAGCAGGCGGAAACAAGGCAGAAGCCACGAAGCAATTCCACAACAGCACAAGGTGTGGAGTGTCTCACCCTACCAGCCATCCTGCAGCAAGCAGTGTCTGTTCTGGAGCAACAGAGAAACTCACAGGAAAACAGAAAGTTAACTTCAGCAGAGGGAGGAAAGGGCCAGGTCATCATGTGGCAGGGATCAGAGTTCAGCTAAAACCAGTCACACAGAGGAGGTTCAAAGTAACGCCTTTGCACTTCACAGCCACACCAAAGCAGAAGTGAAAATGAGTTATTCTTCTTTAGGTGGGTGGAGATGGATGGACTGAAAAGCAAATTTACATCTTCTGGGGAAGGGCCCTGCTCAGAATAAACACAGGAGGAGAACGGAGCCACTCTGTTTGTGGGAGCACACCTGAGACCCTCGGGGACAGAGCATATCTTCAAGCCCTCGGTTTTGTTCCCATCACGTGCTGACCCCACGATCAAGGTCTCACTCAAGGCAGGTGCTCACCTTCCTCTTTGTTGTTGGTGATATCCTTCAGCAGCTCAGTCTTCATGCAGGCGTCTTTCCTTGTCTCTCCCTTACTCAGCACTGTTCGCTAGGGGGATGAAATAAAACACCACGATTTAGCTCAATGTTCATAGACATGTTGCATTTAAACCAAGAGACAATCATGGACACATCCTGTTTACACCACGGGCAAACCTCCTTCTGCACAAAAAAACACCCCTGCCAGGAAACTGCCCCTGAGGCACAGGCCAAAGATAAAGAAAGGCAGAGCTGGCCCCAGCTGACAGTGCCACCCCAGAGGTGGAGGGGCTTCCAGCTGCACCCAGGGCTGATACCTCCCACCCTGCAGATGAAGCCAGGCAGATTTTCTGCCTGCAAGGAGCTTGGGAATCCAGCTGAGTGTGTCTGCACAGGCACAGACTAAAATGGTCATGAAAGGCCACGAGGAGGTGACCCTTTTTCCCTGCAAACTTCCCAGGTCTTGGGAAGGTCTATAAGCTTCTGTAACATATCATCCACACTTACCACCCAAGCATGGTTTTAGTGGGGGTTTTTTTGCAGTCCATTCAAATGGAACTGACAAAGTGCAAATCATCACTGAGCTACAGCTAATGCACCACCCATAACATCCATGTTTATTACAGTTAATGAGCTCTCTTTTTAATTCAATAGAAAGAAATTTTTCTTTCCCTCCCTCTCTTTTTTTTTTTTAATCTTTTTTTTTTGGTAAAAAGGGAACACCTGCTCTTCCCCTCTGCCTTTCACATGCCTGGAGTCATGTTGCTAGGCCAGGTTTGCAGCTTTAATACCTGCTCTTTGTCTTTTTTTATTTGAGGTGGCAAGACAAAAACCAAAAGCTACCAAAACAAAAGGAAAACAATAGTAACCCCCCCCCAAACACACAAGAAAAGGGGCCCTTTGACACAGCTCTGTGTTTAAAGAGCAAAGCTGGTCTGGAAGGTAAAGATGAGGCCTTGCAGAGCTGCTGGGTGCTCAGGGGAGCAGTGATGTCCAGGGCCAGGCTGGGTGAAGGGTTCAGCACACGCTGCCTATGTCGCAGGAGAATAAGCCCAGGTCAAGCCAACTGTTGTAGGCCAGCACAGAGAGCAGATGGTGCCTGCAGCCATGCAAATCAAAAGGTTTAAAGCACATTGAGTGATAAAGAAAGGAAAAAAGCAACCTGCCCATCTCCCATCAAGAAAGAAAAGGAGATAAGATGCACATATCAGCTCCAAAACCATTGCCAGCAGCTGCTTGTCCTTCTCCAGATGGGTTTCTGTCCAAAGCTGGCAGGGAAGATGAGCTTTGGGGTTGGTGTTGGTATTGCTATTACCAGCCACTCTTATCATTTCTGTTTCCAGGAGAGCTTTACTGCAATGCCAGGTGCTGGCAGGTATTGCAGGGTGGGGTCCTCAGCCCCCAGATTTCAGCAGCCCCTTGCCCTGTGCAGACCAGGGAGGGCTCATCCACCACCCCTGGGCCACTGTGGTGCCTGCAAGACCACCCTGCCATGCCCCTAAGTGCCACAATCTGCAAAGCAACACAGGGAACTGAAGAGACAGGGTGCATGGGAAAGCCTCCACTGCCTGCCAGGCCTACCTGGAGCAAAGGGCACACTCAAGGATTGCTCCTCTAGCCAGGAGGAAGGTGGCTGTGGGTGCCTGTCCCGAGCACAAGCAAACACCAACACGGCCACATCTGAATGCTGACAGCACGAGGGAACTTGGTCCCCAAGCATACCCCCCCTTCAGATGTTCAGACACACCAATAAAGCAAGCCCTAAGCATCTGAAACCTCAGCTCAGCCAACCCATCAGGCAGCCTGAGCCAGAACACACTCCAGCAGACACTGACCAACAGCACCCATCCAGAAGCCACCACAGAAACACAGCTCCGAGTTTGAACACAGATCAGCTTTTGTTATTATTATTTATTTGCTAAACCAACAATATATAGCCTTGCTGCAAACATCTGCTTCTAAACCCTATGTCTTCTCTACCCAGACCTCTTGTAAAATGGGAATAACTTCCTTCTTCTCATGGACTCACCCAGCTGCCAAGATCAATGCAAAGACAACTGCCAAGAGCCAGGGCTCCAGCACAGCCCCAGAGCTCCCACCATGGGAAAGGGCACGCAGCTCTCACCACAGACACCACCAGCAGATAAAAAGCCTCAGTCTAACAGGGACTAGCTTGTTTTTCCAACCTTTCTTGCAAACAAGGAAAGGTCTGGATATTCCTACTATTAAAGTGACTCACACTGGAAGCCCCAGGATTTCCACCTGGTCATTTTTACCCATTCCATTCTCATTTTTTTCTTCATCTTACAAGCAGCAACCCCATTCCACAAACCATCCACAGTCTCCCTTCCACAGAGGTGTTGCTGCTGCCCACCTCAGCACTCCTGAAGAAAAGCCACTGTAGGAACCCTGGAGTCAATCAGACCTTAGCAGCTAATGACCATCCTCCCTCCTGGCTGCAACCACCAGGAGCTCAGGGCTGCCCCAGGTCCTGGCCAGCGGTGGGAGCTCTCGAAGCAGAATTTCCAAAGCCAAGAGAGACCAGCAAGAAACCATCACTTTTTTTTTTTTTTTCCTGCAAGAGTAACACAAAGCTGGATGCCAAAGGCTACCAGAGGTGGCACCCGATGGGCTCTCCTGGTCCCTAGCTCAGAGACACATCCCTCACCAACAGCGGCGGCTCGACAGCTTCCAGGCCTTGCTGTGAAACAAACACACACTCGCCATCAAGGGAGAAAATAAAATCAGAACTCAAGAAGAACAAAAAATAAATAAATAAATTAAAAAGCCAACTGTGAATTTTGAAGCATTTTGGAATCAAAAGGAAGCTACAGGAAACCCCCCAGGCCAGCGCTCTCCCCATCACCACCCAGCAGATGCAGCAGCACCCACCGGGCACCCACCACTGCCCATTCATTCCCACCAGCCCACAGCTCCACCCACCCAACTTAGCAGCAACTTCACCCCAAGTGTCAATACCTCCATATTTATATATATATATATTTTTGGCATGTGTGTGTTGATTTGGGGCTGGTTTTTTTCTCTCCACCCCCTGCCTCCCCTCCCTTAAACCCAGAGCAAACTTCCCTTTCAGCTCACACTCCCCATGCCCCAATCCGTCGGCTCCCGATTGGCAGGGAAATCCTATACCCACCCTCCCCGCCGAGAAATGTCTGCTCTTGCAGCAGTCCCAACAAAGCCAACTGCCAAGCACCGCCTGCTTCACAATAAAAGTCTCACTCGCTCCATTATTTTCTTTTTTTCCCCTCCTTCCCCCCTTTCCCGCAGCCGTTCTCACCGACCCCAGACAGATTATTAACCTTCCCTGGCTGGAGAGCCTCCATCAAGGGCACACACCACCAGCAATGAAGCATTTCCCCCCCCCCCAGGCTTTTTTTTTTAGGTTTCAAGGGGAAAGAAGAAAAATTATTGCATCTTAAGAAAGGCTGATTAGGTCTTTGAAAGGGCTTTAAAAGCCACGAGGATCCAAGCAGAGGAGTTAGTGCTGGTTTAGTTTTTCCTCTCCACCTCTGCTGACGAGAAAACAGGACTTGTCTCCTCCACAGGGTCTTTGGAGGGGATGGAAGATGGGGCAGAGCAGCCAAGGAAAGGCTCTGCAGCATTTCCAGACAACTAGAAACTACAGTGGTGCCTTTAAAACAAACAAATACAAAACAAAATAATAATAATTTAAAAAAGAGCCAAAAAAAAAAGAGAAAAAGAGCAAGGCTGGGAAACACAGAAAGAGTTTTCTCAGCCTCTCCTCCTTGGTATTTTCACCAGCCATCCAGGTGCCCTTCACAAAGGTCCAAACAGGCAAAGACAAGACATGCACAGCAGAACTCCAGCATCCTGCAGCTTACCAAGCCCCAGCGACCAGAGTCACACCATGAACCAGAGCTCTTTCCAGGCAGCAGCAGAGGTTGATGTGCTAAGATCTCTACCTTCACCAGGGTCTGGGTTGGTTGGTTGGGGTTTTTTTGGTCTTAAAAATCAACCATCTAGGAACCCGAGGCTTTGCAGCATTATTCTGATCGAAGCCAGGTTGATCTGAAAGAGGGCTGGGAGCAGGAGGACCCTCTGAAATTCTGCTGGCTCTGCTGGGGCAGCAGCAGCACCAAGGCTCTCCCCACAGACCTGGCAGGATGGGAAGGACTGATCCAGCCAGGAGGTCACACTCAGTGGACACCAACCCTCAGAGGTGACACCATGGAGCATTGCTCCCCACGAGCAGCTGGGGACACATGCCCCAGCACCAAAGCTCTCACCAGCCCTTCAGCAGGGCAGGATTTCAGCTCCCATGCAAGGTTTGCCAGGCAGAGAGACAAAGCTCTCAGTAAATGATGCAACCCCAGCAGCAACAGATTCTCCTTCATTTTTTTTCCTCCTAAAACAAACCAACCCAACAAAACGCAGCCCAAACCAACTTGCTCATAATAACCTTTGCCTTACAGAGAAGATAAACATTTTGTAGTTAATTATATAGGAAGTAATGATTAAGAAAATGCTTCTAGAGAGAGAGAGTGCTCCTTTGGTAGGCATGAGAGGGCTGCTCATTTCAGACTTTGGTGCTGTTCAGCTCTGCTGTGCATGGGCAAGGTCTGGGATCATTGCTCGTGGGGACACTGACCACAGGCCTGTCATTAGAAGCAGCAGAAGGATTTGATCTGGAGAAGGAAGGAAGGAAACGCCAGCACCAGCATACCTGGCCTACAAAGCAGTCACCAGTCTCAAAGCTCCTTTTTTTTTCGATTAAGGCCACTTCCTTATAAGCCTCGTGCAATCATGTGAACATGGAATTTTATCTACAGCTCACAACAAGCACTGCCCTCAGCCTGAAGTTTGTCCCCAAATCCAATTCTCTGCAACTCTTTTGTCTCCCGAATTCCTTTCATCCAGACTCTTCCTAAAAGAAAAGAAACATTTCCTTCTCTACCCCCCATGTCCTCTCTCTTATTCCAGCCACAGAAACCAACTCCTGAAACAGGGAGAAGGGTAGAAACGAGGCACAAGTCCCTGCATGCAACAGCTGGGAAGAGGAGACACGTGCATGAAACACAACAGGACT